ACTCGACGAGGTTTGTCACGGGGTGCAATTTTGCAGCACAGCATGTGAAATGGGTGGGAAGTAACTCTTGAGAATTCTCAAAAGGGGTGCAATGTTGCAGCAGAGCATGTAATAGCCCGTCCTCATAGCTTGTGGGTGCAACCTTCGTGGCTCTCTAGCACGTGCTCCCCATTCTCACCTCGCCCCCGCGGTGATGCAGTATGGTGAATTTTGAGGCGCCTCAAAAGTGCTCCCCATTCTCACCTCGCCCCCACGGTGATATAGAAGGGTGAAAAGTAGGCGATGGCATCTAGTCGGCCCGTCCAATATTCATAGTACTTGTTCGTGTGAGAAGAAAAGGTAGAAGAGAAGTTGATGGATTGATTGAAAGGATGGGGGGTTTACATAGGAGATGAGTTGGAAACTAGCCTAGGTGAACATTATTGGACCCCAACCAAGGAGTTGGGTTGGGAGATTATTGGTGGGGTCCAATAATGTTGGCCAAGTTGGAGTTGGGCCAACATTATTGGAGGGGACCAATAATTCTACCCATCCCAACCCTTGGGGTCCAATAATTGGACCAAGGTTGGGTTTCCAACCTACAAATTGGGTAACCCCTGCTTGTACACCCAAACTAAGTTTGGGTGCTTATCTCTAGCCTATCCTATAGCATATATGCAGGTTACAAGAGAGGAGATATTCTAACACAACCCCTTAACCTGCAGAGATGCGGAAAGGCTGGAGAGCAGCAACCCCTGAATCAAGGCGCTCCTGGAGGAGCGAGGCCAATGAGGCGGAGGAGAGCAGAGTGCGCGGGGCGAAGAAGTGCTTTGGTGAAGATATCCGCCAAATTGGCTTCAGTGGCGATCTTGCGGACGGCGATAAGATTCTGTCGGACGAGGTCGCGGATGAAGCGGTTTCATTAATGTTGGATGGGTACATGGAAGGAAGAGAGGGCGAAATAGCTATGTTGCCAAGGAAGCTCTCGTGAGTGAGAGGGGTGGCAATGCTACTGGGGGGGGGTGGGGCACCCCAAAGGGGGGCAGGTGAGGCTTGAGCGGCCATGGCTGCTGTGCCAAAGTTCAACTGCTGCTGCGGCCAGGGAGGAGGGCTGGGTCCCCACTGTGGCTGGGGTCCTGACCCCCATGGGTGCTGCGGCGGCTGTGGCTGCTGCTGCTGCTGCGGCTGAGGGTGAAACAGCTGCTGTAACTGCTGCTGCTGCTGCTGCTGCTGCTGCTGCTGCTGCTGCTGCTGGAGGTGCTGCTGCTGGAGGTTGAGGAAGGGTGTGGGGGGAGCAAGGAGGCGGAGGTGGGCTGGGAGGTAGGCTGGATTGGTTTGGATATCGGTGGGGGAGGGGCGTGGGGAGATGTTGCCCCACTTTGGAGGAGTGCCAACGTTACCCCGCGCGTACCAGGCATCGTCGAGAGCCTTGAAGCACGTGCCAGGGGGATGGTTGGTCTGTCCGCAGGGAGTTCCAGCCCGAGGACCATAGCGGCGGACATAGGTGCAGGGAGGAAGCGTGCCAGGGCGACTCCCGCGACTTGCAGTGGGTCCACCCGAAGTGGTGGTGCCGTGCTCATCCCCAGTGGTGCCACCACGGTTGTTGCTGCTTCCCGAACCACCACCTCCCTTGCCCCCACCTCCTCCTTTGCCGTTGTTCTTTCCCTGCTTGCGAGGCTGGGTAGCGTTGAGGGAGGAGGAGGTGGGTTGGGAGGAGGCGAGGTTGACGATGGGTGTACGGAGTTTAACTTCGGTGTCGATAATCCACTGTTCAACGGAGGCGAGACCGGCCATGGGATTGGCTTCGGTAAAGGCGTGGAGGCGGGATTCGTAGTCTGGGGTGAGGTTAAAGAGGAGGCGGTGGATTTGAAGAGGTTCGGAGAGGCCGGCCTGGCGGGCTTCGAGGCGATCAGCTACCTCGCGCATGCGTCCGACGTAGTCGACTGCTCCGTCACAGGTGGCGAGGGTGATGGAAAAATACTCTTGGAAGAGGATGCCGACGGAGCTGATGTCGCGGCGCTCAAACATGGCATGGAGTTCTGCCCAGATGACCGAGGCACGGAGTTCCCGAGCCTGGAAGCGACGCATGAGGGAGTCAGGGAGAGCTCCAAGGAGAACGGTGCAGGCACGGGTGTCAGCAGCTGTCCAGGCGATGAGTCTGGGGGTGAAGTCAGCCATGTCGACCTTGTATTTGGCGACGACCTCGAGGTGAGCGTCGCGACCAGCAACCGCCTGATCATAGGCCTCAACTGCAGCATCGTACTCGGCTTTGCGGATGAGGTATTCACGGCGGCGTAGGATAAAATCAGTGTCCGCAGTGGCTTGGTCGGGGGTGATCTGAAGATCGGGTTCACGAGGAGGGTCGCCAGGAGTAGGAGGAAGAGGAGGAGTCTCGCCGGGGTGGGGAGGTTCGATGGGGGGGAGGGCATGGGGGCGGCGGAGGATGACGTCAAGGACACGGTAGGGGGGAACCCATGCGTCGGAGAGAACGCGTCGGATGCTGCCGACGAAGGAGTGCCAGTTGACTGCGGACTTGTCCGCGGCGAGCTGGAGCTTATCAATGGAGGACGTATCAATAGGGGGAGGAAGTGGGGAGGGGGAGGGTGTAGGAGTAGCCATGATGGACGGCTGCAGGTGGACCCGCAGTGGTCACGGAGGAGCAACGGCGACGAGGCCGCGGGGGGGGGGGGGGGGAGAGGAGTGGCGCGGGCAGCAGCGGCTGGCGAGGCCGCGGCGGTTGGCGCGGAGGCGGCGTTGAAGCCGCGGAGGGGCGCGGACGGCGGCGGCTGGCGAGGCCGCGGCGGTGCTGGCGGGGAGGCGGCGTCGAGGCCGCTGGAGGGGAAGGCGCGGGCGGCGGCTGGCGAGGCCGCGGCGGCTGGCGCGGAGGCGGCGACGAGGCCGCGGAGAGGCGCGGGCGGCGGCTGGCGAGGCCGCGGCGGCTGGCGCGGAGGCGGCGACGAGGCCGCGGAGAGGCGCGGGCGGCGGCTGGCGAGGCCGCGGCGGCTGGCGCGGAGGCGGCGACGAGGCCGCGGAGAGGCGCGGGCGGCGGTTGGCGAGGCCGCGGCGGCTGGCGCGGAGGCGGCGACGAGGCCGCGGAGAGGCGCGGGCGGCGGCGGTTGGCGAAGCCGCGGCAGTGCCGGCGCGGAAGCGGCGACGGGGTCGCGGGAGGGAGCGGCGCGAGCGGCGGCGGCTGGCGAAGCCGCGGCAGTGCAGGCGCGGAGGTGGCGACGAGGCCGCGAGAGGGAGCGGCGCGAGCTGCGGCGCTGGCGAGGCCGCGGCAGTGCAGGCGCGGAAGCGGCGACAAGGCCGCGGGAGGGAGCGGCGCGAGCGGCGGCGGCTGGCGAAGCCGCGGGAGTGCTGGCGCGGAAGTGACGACGGGGTCGCGGGAGGGAGCGGCGCGAGCGGCGGCGGCTGGCGAAGCCGCGGCAGTGCAGGCGCGGAGGCGGCGTCTAGGCCGCGGGATGGGGCGGGCGGTGGCGGTCGGCGGGACCGCGACAAGGCGAGCGCGGAAGCGGCGGTGGGGCCGCGAGCCGTGATGGCGTGGGAGGCCGTGGGGCTGCGAGGAAGGGAGTGCTTGAGGAGAGGGGGAGGGTGGCGAGATAGCCGCGGAGAAATGAGAGAGGAGGCCGGGGGTTGCGGCGGCCTTTGAAAAAAAACTAGGAGCGTAGGCCTAGGATTTTTAAGAGCTCTATACCATGTGAGAAGAAAAGGTAGAAGAGAAGTTGATGGATTGATTGAAAGGATGGGGGGTTTACATAGGAGATGAGTTGGAAACTAGCCTAGGTGAACATTATTGGACCCCAACCAAGGAGTTGGGTTGGGAGATTATTGGTGGGGTCCAATAATGTTGGCCAAGTTGGAGTTGGGCCAACATTATTGGAGGGGACCAATAATTCTACCCATCCCAACCCTTGGGGTCCAATAATTGGACCAAGGTTGGGTTTCCAACCTACAAATTGGGTAACCCCTGCTTGTACACCCAAACTAAGTTTGGGTGCTTATCTCTAGCCTATCCTATAGCATATATGCAGGTTACAAGAGAGGAGATATTCTAACAGTTCGTCCCTTCGTCGCCCGCTGCCACCGCCACAGTCACTCCTGCCTGAAGAATGGAGGAGGGAGGGAGGGAGGGAGGGAGGGAGGGAGGGAGGGAGGGAGGGAGGGAGGGAGGGAGGGAGGGAGGGGGGGGGGAGGGAGGGAGAGAGGGAGGGAGGACAAGAAGTGAGAAAATTAGGGCACAGAAAGTTACCGGAGGGTGCTGGGGTCAGAGAGAGTAGGATCACAGAGAGATTGAGACAGCAAGGTGGTGAGGGATGGCTGACAAGGGGGTTACAACGGTATGCAAACATGAGTGCATGTACAGTAGGAACATGAGCGCGGTGGCACTGCACCGACCTGTACTCGCGGGTTGCAACCACCGCGCTAGTAGGAACGTATGTATGTAAGTACGAAAACGGTTTGGTCCAACCAGCGAAGCCATACATACTGCATGCCCCTCACACCCACCGCATTCCCCTCACACCCATGGCATGCCCCTCACACCCACCGCATTCCCCTCACATCACACCCACCGCATTCCCCTCACATCACACCCACCGCATTCCCCTCACATCACACCCACCGCATTCCCCTCACAGCACACCCACCGCATTCCCCTCACATCACACCCACCGCATTCCCCTCACATCACACCCACCGCATTCCCCTCACATCACACCCACCGCATTCCCCTCACATCACACCCACCGCATTCCCCTCACATCACACCCACCGCAAGAGCGCCGATGAAAGGCAGATCTTCAAAGTAGTTCCGTTTGTGACCGTACTCCTGTAGTACGCCAATCAGGTGCACAGCCAGCACATCCACACCGTCCGCCACTGCCTGATCAACGGCTGCGAAGACGTCTCCATATGTAGCGTACACGTACATGTCATCTACCCATTGCTGACGCCAGTACACCTTGTAGATGGCCAGGCGTGCCTTGGAAGCCACGCCACTGATGGTGCCCCCGCCAGGCACCTCAACCCCGCTGTTGCCCGCTGCCGCTCTGTGGCGGCACATTCGAGGGAGAGAGAGAGAGAGAGAGAGAGAGAGAGAGAGAGAGAGAGAGAGAGAGAGAGAGAGAGAGAGAGAGAGAGAGAGAGAGAGAGAGAGAGAGAGAGAGAGAGAGGCTATGAGGGGAATGGCATTTCCTGGCACCTTCACGCCGCGGTTGCCTGTTGCTGCTGTGAAAGTGGGTGGGGGCGCATGCGACAGGGAAGGGGCGGCCATGGAGTTGGTATATACCATGCCAGTACATCTTGCAGATAGCCAGCCGTGCCCTGAGAGCCACGCCACTGACAATGCCCTGCTAGGATCGTTGACGCAGCTGTTGCCTGCTGCCGCTCTGAAGAGGAGGCGCACGGGACAGGGAAGGAGCGCCTATGAGGGGTACGCGTTGCTATGAGCGGCTAACAATGGTACGAGCGGCTATGAGCGGCTATGAAGGGGAATAAGCGTGCCATGTGCATTCCTTTTCCCATGTCTGCAACAGCATAATGAACAGCATTGAACAGCATTGATCAGCATTGAACAGCGCCATGGCATACGTTTGAGAGTAGGGGGAACTGATTGAGAGTGAGGGTGAACGGAGTTGCAACGTAAGAACATCATGCATCATGCACCATGCACCATGCACCATGCACCACGCACCATGCAACATGCACCAGACATCCCTGCACTGTACTCACCCGGCACACCATGTGCCATGGCCAATAGAATCCCGCGGGGACAACCAGTTGAGGGTGAGGTTGACGCTCACATGCTCTTCGCTCTCAAACCCCGCATAGAAGATACCCCCTCCGATGATCTTGTTGTTACAAGCGAAGTCGCTTGTAGTGGGACACGTGCCCGCCCACCCGGCAGGGAGCGTGCTGCTGTAGCCCTGGCGGGGGGGAGGATGTGGCATGCAGGGGGGAAGCTAAGTTGGAAAAAGCAGCAGCAGCAGCAGCAGCAGCAAGCAGCAGGGAAGTAAGCAATGCTCGGCTAAGAACATACCGTATCGTCAAAGGAGGGGTGCTCCGGCCACACGCCGCTGTCCACAATCCCAATCACCGTGCCCTCGCCACCGTCGCTCGACGCTCCAGCCGGAGTGGCAGCAGCAGGATTGGCAGCAGCAGGATTGGCAGCAGCAGGATTGGCAGCAGCAGGATTGGCGGCAGCAGGATTGGCGGCAGCGGGAGCAGCAGAAGAGAGGGCGTGGGGTAGCTTGAGAGACTTGTACGCGTCAGCGGCGGTGGTGGAGGTGGCGTGGCGTGTGATGGTGCGAGAGGGCGTGACGGACGCCACAGAGGGGTGCCGTCTCATGCGCTGCACCTGCGCTGCCGTGAGGGTCGCTGCAAAGCCGTTGTCTGTGTGCTTGTAGCTGAGGGGGAAGGGAGCGCGTGCAGCGGGGAAGAGAGCAAGGAAGGGGGGGCCAAGAGATGAGGGAAGGCGGGCAGGGGACGAAGGGGGTGAGGATCGCTGTAAAGCCGTTGTCTGTGTGCTTGTAGCTGTGGGGGAAGGGAGCGCGTGCAGGGGAAGGCGAGGCACGGAAGGGGGGGGGGCAAGGGCGCACTTAAGTCGAGGCAGGATCGCTGCAAAGCCGTTGTCTGTGTGCACGTAGCTGAGGAGTGAGGGAGGGAGCAAGGGCGCACAAGGAGAAGAAGACGGAAGGGAGATAGTGCCAGGGGTGAAGTCTTTATGAGTCTGTGGTGGTGGTGCTGGGTGCACAAGTGATGAGGTGAGCCATGAGGGTGAGATGGTCACGTGGCAAAACATTCACAGAAATCAAGTCACATTCTCCCCTCATCTTCCTCGTTCCCCTCACCTATACACCATCTTTCCCCTCACCTGTACACCATCTTCCCCGCGTCCACCCCGCTGTCTCTCAGCACGGCCTGCTGCATGCGCTGCAGCAGCTGCTTGAACGCCCTCACGCCCGGCGCCCTCACGTCCACCCGCGGCCGCCGCGGTCGACGGCTGGTGCCTCCTGAACCGCTAGTAGTGGCCGCAGCCGCAGCAGAGACAGGGGTACCAGAAGCCGTGCCAACGCCACCGTTGTTAGTCACGCAGGAGGAGGAGGAAGTCTCGCGAGGTAGAGCGGGATGGTGGGCGTCGTCGTCTGCTGTGCCGCCTGTCGCGTTGTTGTTAGTAGGGCCGCTGTCCCAGCCGGTCGTTGAGGAGTTTGAAGGAGCTGCCGCGTCGGCACCGTTGGCTGCATCGGCACCGTTGGCTGCATCGCCACCGTTGGCTGCATCGCCACCGTTGGCTGCATCGCCACCGTTGGCTGCATCCGCACCGTTGGCTGCATCCACACCGTTGGCTGCATCCGCACCGTTGGCTGCATCCGCACCGTTGGCTGCATCCTCCGCCGACGCATCTATCGCGTTGCCGTTAGGGTCGCTGTCCCACACGGCCGTTGCCGGGAAGCCGGGGATTCCGCCTGTGTAGGAGGCGACTGGTGGCGCGGAGCGCAGGCGGACGATGTAGAGCGCGGAGGCATCGGGGGAAGCTGCGGGGGATAGGGGGAACAGGGCGAGGGGGGGACGAGGAAGAGAGCATAAGAGGAAGCATACGAGGGATTCATTCCAAGGGATGACGCGGATACGAGCGGCGGTGGTGCGTGGTCTTCGCTCACCAGCGTTGGTGGGGCGGGAAGGCGTTACAGGTAGAGTGAGGAGGAGCAATAGTAAGAGACGGACAGCCCATGCTAATCGAAAGTATTGTTTCTCAGAATGCAACGAATGCTGTTTTTTAGAACGCTTTAGGAGCAACGGGTGTTGATTGCGAGAAGCCATCACAGCGGTAGTACTAGTACTAATAGGAGCAGGAATGGGGGTAATTTTGGAAATGGAAACGGATACACTCGGAGCTCGGAATAACGTCTGCACGAAGCACGGAAACACGGAGCACTCGGAGATTTATCCACGTCGAGAGGCACAAGAAAGGTGATACCTCGTGAAATCAAGAAAATGTCGTGTCGCGTGGAGGAAGAAGCTAAGATGTTTCCACCCCTCGTATTCCCCCCGTTTGTCCGTCATTTTCTGCTCTATGGCCTTCCTTGGTTCTTGCCACGTCGAACCTAGAGGCTCTTGTTCGGTCGTGCGGATCAGTGGAGGGTTTGTGAGGAACGCACGAGCGACACACAGACGTAGAATGATTCTCTATGACGCTGCTAGTGTCACGCCGTGCTAGTGAGGGTGTGCTAAGCCTGAGCCTATTACGACCAGGCGCTGTCAAGCGCATTCGGTGAGTTTCCAACACGTCTCAAAAAGTCACGATATCTTGGGCCTTGTTCGGCTGCACAAGTTAGAGGCCACAACCAAACAACAACCAGCCAGAAATCGAACTAACTCAAGGTGACGTGTAAAAACCCCCTACGATTCGTCGGATTGCCGAACTTCTTTCCTAACCAGTTTCGCGTTGGTTTCAGGTTTGTAGATGGTTCCATGACAGACCAACAGTGCCAACCAACCAGAACAGCACAGTAAAACACGGGCAAATAGAAGCTCATTGCTAGTTGAACTACGGCCCAGTGCTGATCCTGCTCTCGAGGTGGTTAAGGTTAAGGTTATATTAGGTCGTAACCGTGTACAGCAAAGCATAGAGTAGCTAGAAATATGGTCTACACAAACCAACAGCCCAGAGGCGTACGTAAGAAAACACGTTATTCCCCTATCCAAGGATAGCCACCAGCTCAGCTGGGGAGCTCTTCTATGCTCAACAAAGGGTGGGAGGGCTAGGGGGGGCGGAAAGGGTCCCCAAGCAGCCAGGAAGAGCGGAGGTCTGGGTGGATAGAAGGGGTTCCGTTGTGGTCGAAGACGAGAAAGCGAAGTCGAGTGGCCAGCTTAATACGAGCGGCTGAGCGTTGTTGTTTTTTCACTGATTGTTTCTTCCTGCGCCATAAGAAAATTTTGAAAGCAATGAGGAACTTTGCCAGTATGAGCTGGAGGATTTCAAACCGGGAGGGGGGCGAATCTTGGAACTTGTGTTCACAGCGTGCGTTCCAAATAGCTTTTGTAGATGCCCCAACCAGAAGGCTCCAAGGGGCCACCTGGCCAGCTCTGGAGGCGAGCGGGAAGAGCAGGAGCTCAGGAGGAGGAGAGCAGTGGAGGTGACGATGAGCGACGGAAGAGAGGGCGGAAATTACCGCGGGGGCCACCCCGCACTCGTAAAAAATGTGGGATATGGTCTCCGTGGGAGCGGCGAGGCAGAGTGAACAAATCTCACGGTCTGCGGCGAAGTTGAAGCGTGAACCCGAAGGCAGAGCGCGAGTGTAGAACCGATACAAGACGTCGCGTTGGAGGCTGGGTTGCTCCCGTAGAAAGTCATGGGAGAGGTCGGGGAGGAAGGGAGGAGGAGCGGGGAGGACGTGGATCCAGCGGGCGGCGTGGTCGAGGGGAAGTTGAGCATAGAGCCGGCGACGAATGTCAGCTACGCTTGGGCAGCCGTCCCGGAGGATGTCGAGCCGCGCGCCAAGCCCTGCACCTGTATGGAAGGGGCCTGCAAGCCAGGACCCGACAACGTGTACCGCACAGAGGGCACCTATGTGGAAGGTGCTATCTCCGATCGACGGTCGGACGATGAGTCGGTTGGGCAGGACACGGTAAAGGGAGACTGAGAGCGACGACGGAGGGGAGAAGGCCGTGACCTGGAAAGCAATAGTGGGAGAGGTTTCGGAGTCTTCTTTAGGGACGAACCGCTCCCCAGGGACTGCCGAGGGGGGAGGGGGGGAGCGAAGGGTTGACCACCAGGGTTTGGGGATGGCACGGATGAGTTCGCGCCAGACTCTTCGTCCAGAGGAGGAGTTGGCTATGGGAAACAGTGAGGTGAAGTGTTTGAAGGAGACCACACCAAGCGAGTGAAAGATAAGAGAGATCAAATGGCCGACACGGACCTGCTTAGATAGGAGGAAGTGTTCACGCGTGAGGATTCCGAAGGGCTTCCCGTTTGGTTTGAGAATGAAACGATTGAAGGCGGTGGGCTCGCCCATTATACACATGGGGACGAGGCGAGGTGGGGCAATGTTCGGAGTGATCTCTATTAATGCGTGTAGTTCAGCGAGTGCTCGGCCTGGGATTATCGTTGGCAGAATGCCTGCTTGAAGGATGGCAGGGTGCGCGAAGAGACAGTGTGTGCCAAATGGGAGGCAGACGGCGGCTCTGGCTATCTCTTCTGATGGTGAGGCGCCGAGGCGACGGAGCGCGCGGTGAGCAGCTAGAGCACGGATTTGGGTGGAGGGGGCAATCGCTCCAAGGCCTCCGTGGCGGGTGGAATTATACAGGAGCCGATTAGGGATGAGACGGACCGCTAGGCCGTGCTCCTTGAAACGCGAAGAGGATAGAAAGTTTCCGACCAGGATGTCTAATCGTTTGATAACGTCGGGGGAGGGGGTTTGAAAGCGGCCGGGGAAGGAGATGATAGAGTTTAAGAAGACCAACGCAAGTGACTTGCGGCAGGTGGCTGTGGCACGAAGGGCGGCGAGGAATTTAGCCGTGCGCTGAACGCGAGAGAGAGTCGTGGACCAGGTGGTGGCGCCTGGTTGTGCACGTTCAACGTAGATGCCAAGAATGCGTTCTGCCTCTTGAGGAGTGCGAATGGGAATGGGGCCGGCCAGAAGGATTTGTTCCGGGGAGATATGAAAAGGGATTATTGAGCATTTGTTCCAGTTAGGGTGTTCTCCTGAGACTGCGGCGAAGGTCCTGAGGTGTATGAGTGTGGTCCCAAGCTCTCTAACAGAGGAGAGGAAGATGGTGACGTCGTCAGCGTAGCAGGCCATGAGACGGCGCTGGGTCGGAGAGAGGGGGAAACCCGGGAGGAAGAGCGATAGGTAGCGCTGTAGGATTTCAATGACACACACAAAGAGGAGGGGGGCGAGGGGGCATCCTTGTCGGACCCCGGTTAGGACTGGGAGGGTGGGTCCAGCAAGGTTGTTAACGGAGATGCAGGTGGAGGTGTTAGTGTGCATGAGGCGAACCCAGGCGATAAACTGCTCTGGGAGTCCCACCCTGGCTAGCGCTTGGAAGAGGAAAGCTCGATCGACCAGGTCATAGGCCTTGCGGAAGTCGACCGTTAAGGCGAGTAGGGGGGTTTTCGTGATTGTGCTCCAATCGAAAATGTCAAGTGTATCGTTGATCGTATCGCCAATTTTTCTGCTTTTAATGAAAGCGGTTTGGGAGGGGTGGATAATCAGGGGAAGAGCGAGTTGCAGCCGATTGGCAAGGCATAAGGCTAACACCTTGTAGTCCGAGTTCATGAGGGTGATAGGGCGGAGGTTGTCGATCATAGAGGAGCTACCCCTCTTGGGAATAAGGACTGTGCGGCCTGATAGCATTGACGGCGGGAGGGTAGCGGAGATGTGCGGTGAGGAGAAGAGTGAGAGAAATGCGGGGGCGAAGCGGGTCTTGTATTGTCGGAAGAGCTCGCCCGGGATGCCGTCAGGGCCGGGGGTTTTGCCACGGGAGAGCTGGTTTAAGGCCTGCTAATTTCCATTAGGGAAAAGGGAGTTTGCAGATGGTTGAGGAGTCTGGGGGGGAGTGAAGAGGGGGGAATATGAGCCCAGAAGGCAGGATTTGGCACGCCCGGGGTTGCTCCGCAGTAGAGAGACTGGAAGAAATTGGTGCATTCAGCGTTCATGACTCGTAGATCTGAGATGGTTTGTCCATCTGGTAGTATAAGCGAGGATATTAATGAGTCTTTGATGCGGGAGTTGAGTCCTGCCAGCAGGGAGGAGGTTCCCATCTCCCTATGGCCTTCGACTTTGAGCTTTGCTTTTAGAGCGAGCTCGGCGGTTTTGGATGCCTCGTATTTTGTTAGTTGAGTGCGGGCTTTGAGGAGCTGTGTGGTCGCATCATGGTCAAGAGGGGAGAGGGCAGATTGGAGCTGAAGGTGGCTGATGAGTTGTACTAGGTGGTTTGTAGTGCTTGTAACCCTTTTGCGCTCTTCGTTCGAGAAACTTTTGAGGCTAAGCGTGAGGGCCAGTTTCCAGGCGTCCCATGCATCGGCGGAAGGGCGTGATGGCAGGGAGGGGAGGTGAGATTCGATTATGGTAGCGACTTGGGGCCGGTGGAGAAGAGAGGAGCTGAAACGCCAAGGTCGCGGTGCCATGGTTGGGTTATCGAATATGAGGGTGCAGAGGGGTGCAAAGGAGTGGTCAGACACGTCAGTTGGGGTCCAGAAGTAGGAGGTTTCAGAGACCCGAGGGATGAATAAACTGGAGAGGTAGATTCGGTCCAGTCTGGAGGCCGGCGGGAGAGCAGTGCTAGCACTGGCCCGGCGGCCAAAGTAGGAAAAAACGGGGGCGGTAGGGTGGAGTGAGCGGTACACGTCGGACAGTGCGTGCGATAGCAGGAGATTAGACATCATGGTGGCTTCGCTGAGTTCGTGACCAAGTAGCGGACGGTTACGGTCTAAGGGGGAGGTTATCGAGTTGAAGTCACCGACGAGGATTGTGGCAGCAGCTGCGGTGGGTTGCTCCAGTGCGGGAGTTAGGATGGATCTCCACCAGATCCGGCGGTCAGTGGCAGGTCTCGGCGCATAGATAGCGAGGATGCGGAGTTGCTCCCGCAGGAAGTTGATATGTACGGATAGGAGGCGGCCATCGGCGGAGGGGGACGGGGAGGTGAGAGATATTGCTCTGTTGAAAGATAAGATGGAGATGCCGCCGGGTTGCGGACATGGATGACCGTTTGAATTCAGTGCGTAGAGGGTGGGTGCGTGTACCGAAGAGTGTGGCCGGAGTTGGAGTGACAGTTTAGGTAGGTTTTTGGAGAGGCGTGTGTCCACTAAAATGAGAATATCTGTGTGCGATGAGGAGGAGGAGAGCCAACGCTTTAGAGCATTTCGTTTAACCGGCGTGTTGATACCATTGATGTTGAGGCAGCGGACTCGTAGGGGCGTTAACATTCTACCAGGTGGGAGCCCACCGCGCAGGAGTGTGCGCGGATCCACGGGCGTGGGTGTTTATACAGAAGGGTAGGAGGTTGGTGGAGGTTGTGGGTAACAGTCGAGCTGTCAACGAATGCGAACTGAGGTTGGTGGTGGGTATGCTGGTATGTTGTTGGTGGATTGATTCGGACGGAAACAGAGGCGCACGAGAAGGTAGGCAGATATTGGGCGACAGAACCAGGGTGTAGAGGTGCCGCATACAGGTGAAGCTTGAGCAAGTGTGTGTTAAACTTAAGAGTGAGAAGTGAAGGGCTCCAGTTTTGAGTAGTAGCGGAGATGATAGGTGGCGTGTTATCAATAATGCGTGAATGCGTCAAGGTGAAGCGTGGGATGAGTCTGCCTTTATGAGAGCAGTAAAAGTTGTATTCCTGGGTAGCGACAAGAAAGAGAGTACACCGGGGGTCGGGGGTGCTAGCGTTTTCACTGGTGGAGCATGTCAACCATGATGACGTATGAGAATAAGTAGCGAAGTAACGTGGGGCAGGCGGACGGGGGTCAGCAGGAACAGACGTGGTGGTAGGCGGACGAGGGGGGCTCTTTGGCGAGGCCATCTCGCCTCTTCTGTGTCCGTGCGAGGGTTGATTTCGGTCGGTAGGTGCGTCGACCGATTGAGAACCTCTGGCGGGAGGGGAGGCCACGATTACAGGGGGAGATTTTAAGGCAGGTGTAAGGAGATGTTGCGGCCGCTGACGGCGGTCGGGCGTACAGGTAGGGGCGTGTGTGATAAACAGGCGTGGATGCTCGCTCTGGTGATTCATGGTGAGAGTGAGCTTGACATGGCTGCGCGTTAGGCGAGTGTCAAGCGGGGTTGGGGTATTGGTGTTAGTGATTTGGGGGGTTAGGCGACTGCTTAGGTCGTTCATTGTTGGGGCTTCGTTTGGACTGTTCACGGTGAGGCAACAATTGTGAGGGTGTGCGATCATGATGGTTGGTGTGAAGCACACGCGTGCGGGGGGACGCAACTCCACCGGGCTGGCAGGGGCCTGAGGTGGCTGGCATGGCCTGTGCGCGAGGGGTGAAGGTTGGTAGAAGCGTGAGGTGGGTGAGGCAGGTGTGGGGTTGAGTAGTTGTTGGGGTGAGGGTTTAAAAATGGCGTATTTGGTATTTTGCGTGGATGTGAGAGTTGAAGTGAAGACTGACAGGGAAAAAGATAATACGTAGAGATTGACAAACATGATTGTGCGCACATGAGTTGCATATCCGAGGTCTAACTGGGTGCCTGCTAAATGACCAAGCCAAGGAACTAGCCACGCATCGAAGCTAAGGTGCGCAGGTCATGACGCTAAGGGCGACCGCGAAGGAAGGCAGCCACCGGGGGCTTCTGCTGCAGCAGGGTGAGTGCGCGCCAGGGGCCAAATTCTTCCTTGGCAGCCGGGCGGTGAGCGGAGGCCTTCACGCGGGTGACGTGCAGGTCGGAGTGGATATGCTCCATGGCGCTGTCGAGGGCAGCGCCGCAGGTGAAGTCGCAGAGAGTGCAGGTCCAGTATTCGATCCAATCGCCCAGCCCAATGTAGAGGAGGCCGGGGTCGTTGCTGAAGGCGGTCGGCGCGGCATGATTGCCCAAAGAGTTGCCTGCAAGAGAGGAGGCGGTTGGGGTGAGGCAGGGGGGGCAGGGGGGACGAGGGGGTGGATGAGGGGCGGGTAGGGGGAGTCAGGGAGGAGGGGGACGTGGGGGTGAAGGCCGAGGGGGGGGAGACTATGTGGCCTGGTTGGCTGCGGGTGGAGGGAGGTGCAGGGAGGGGGGGGAGGCGCAGGGGAGGGGCGGGGGTGTTCGGGGGTCCAGGCGGGGGGGGGGAGAAGGAACCAGAGGGGGGTGGATTGGCCTGCGCGAAAGCAATGTGGGAGAGACTGGGGGGAGAGGGCTGTTGGCAGAGGGGGAGAGCCTCGGTGGGAGTCGGGCGGCCCGGTCATAGCACAGGGGGCGGTTGCAGATGGGTCCCTGAATGTGTAGGGGGTGAAGAAAGTGAGGAGGGGGGTGAAAGGAGTGAGGGAGGGGGGGGGAGGCGAGATTGAGGGTAGGGGGGGGGGAGGAGGGGAATCGGGGGAGAGGAGGTGTGGGGAAGTCGGGGGGTGGGGGGAGCAAAGAGGAGTGCTGGTTGAAAAAGGGGGGGATAGGGCAGGGGGGGGGGAGCGTCTCCATGCTAGCATAGGGTTGGGCAGGGGGCCCGCCCTCTGGAGGGACCATGGGAGGAGTGTCGGGAGGGGGCAGAAAGGGGGGAACCGTGAGAGGGTCCAATCTGCTGGTGGGAGGAGGGTGCGGGTGGGGGGCGAGCTTGTGGGAGGGCAGGGTACTCTCCTCAGAGGGGGAAGGGGCAGGAGTGTTGTGTGGGGGGGCGTTGACGTGGGAAGGGGCAGGGGGTGGGGGAACATGGGTGAAAAAGGGATTTCGCGATACGGAGATTGCGTGGGGGGAGTGGGGATATGGGGGGTTCGTGAGGATGGGCGGAGTCCCGACTGTAGGGGGGGGAGAGGAGGGTACAGAGGTGACAGGGACTGAGCGTCCATGGGGGGGGGCTTGCCTGCATGTGTTGGGAAGAGCAGGGAGGGGGGGGTGGCGTGGGGGGAAGAGGGGTTGAGTGGGAGCCCCACAACATGGAAGGCCGGGGGGTGGGGAGCTGTAAGGGAGGGGTGGGTGATGGAGGGGAAGTCAGGGTAAGGGGGGGCAGCTGGCACAGGGAGAGGGGTGAGAAGGGAGGGAACGAGGGGAGTGGGTAGGGGCAGAATGAAAGTAGGGGTGGCAGGGGCCCAGACGACCTTGCGGGGGGGGGACAGCAAGGCAGTGGGGGGCGGGGGATCTTAGGGAGGGGAGGACAGCGGGGGGAGAGCGCGGGTGTTGGATGGGAGCAAGAAAGTTGCGTGATGGGGAGGTGGAAGACCGAGGGGGGAGTGGTGAGTGGATGGGGGGTAGCGGAGGAGCACATGAGAGGGCAACGGAGGCAGGCTAAGGGCGTGCAGTGACAACAAGAAGAGATGATTTTTGCGGCTAAGACAAGAGGAGTAGATTTCGTACCATTTGCCTGCTGCAGCTGAGCAATTGAGATTGTGTTCTTGTTCGTGAGGCGTCCTCGGCGGCGGGCAGCGAAAGTCTCGTGGTCCGGTGCGCGGTGGTTGTTGCCGCACAGCGTGCACACGTGGCAGGAGAAGTTGAGCAGCATAGCTGGTTTGTTCTCCTCCAGCAGGATTTCGGACGGGATACGCTCGAAATTCGGGTCATCGGGGGTGGCGACCGGGAGCCCTGCGAGGTGGGTGAAAAAGGTATTCTCGTAGGGATCGGAAGCGCGGTGAAATTCAATCAGGTCCGCGAGCCAATGCGAACCGTCCTCCTCGGTGGATCCGAGGAGGAAGGCACGAAGCTCCTCCGGATCGATCTCCAGGGGGACGTTTCGGATGGAAAGGGTAGGGGCGCCGGCTGCCTTTGCCGCGGTAAAAACTTCAGAACGATCAACAAAAACCTTCAACATGACGGGGCGGGAGTTGAAGATTTTCAGCATGAGGGGAAAAATCTTGCGAAAAACCGCAGCATCTTCCTGCGACGGCCAAGAGAAAAGCAGGCGGCCGTACACGTGGCGAGCCACGCGGAGGGATTCGCCAACGGTGTGCTCGAAGGGGGGGATGATGCCCGAATCAAACATGAAGCCGCATAGCTGCGCGTTGATCCCGGCGAGGATTTCCGTGCGATGCGACTCCAAAATAGCCTCCGGGAGGAGGATCGTGACTACCACGCGGCGGCGGAGGGGAAGGAGCATCGGGGTGGCTGCGGAAGTGCGCGCGCGGCGGAGGTTGCGGGGGGGTCCGCCGGGCACGGGTGAGGCAAAGAGCGAGGCGGGCAGCGCGGGGGCCGGGTTAGCGCCGGAGGCGACCGTTGCGTAGGCAGCAGCGCGAAGAACCGGGCCGTTGGGGGCGGCAGCTGTTGCTGCCAGAGAGGGCGCAGGGCCTTGCTGAGTCGCCGTGGGAGCAGCAGCAGCAGCGAGGAGCACGGGAGACGGCGCGGGCTGCGCCAGCGCCGAATCGGAGGAGGTAGAGGGGGAGTTGAAGCTAGCAGGGCCAGCTCCGGGGTCCATGCAGGGCTTCTTCGCAGCAGGGTGGTCAGGGGAGCTCGCGAGGTCATCGATAAGTCCTTCGGGAAGGTCGTCGACCAAGAGATCGTCGCCGGTTTCAGCGATAGTTTCCTCTTCAGCGGCGGACATCGTCAGATCGGGGTTGAAAACCTGCTCAGCCATAAAGAAGAGTGTGTAAAGGAGTCGTAGGGGACTGGGAGAAGAGAGTTGAGTGATTGACGAAGGCTGAGGTGGGTTAAATAGGGAGGGAGCGAGGGAGCGCCCGCGGGGGAGCGTCAGGACGGAGGGGAGGCAGAGACGCGGCGGAGGCGGACGGGCGTGACGCCGTGGAGGCGAGGCTCTGTTGGCGGCTCGTTGGGAAGGGTTGGAGGGAGGGCGGACGGGAAGGGGAATGCCTGGAAGTGCATGGGCAGCGCGTAGGCAGAGGGAAGCGTGGCGACGTGGCGAGTAAATTGAGGGCCAGAGGCGGGAGTGGGCGCCTAGTTGGCAGCCCGAAACCCGGGACCGTTCGAGGGTCCAAGCGCTCGCGCGCGAGAAACGAAACTGGCAGCCTAGGCGGCGCGCCAAGTTTCTGAGCCATGTAGAGGGCTCTGCCGGAGGCGGCGTTTGAGTGGAAAGCGGGAAAAATGCAGCATTAATGCCAGGGGGGACGGGAGGTCCGGTAGTGGTGGCGCTTGGGAAGGCACGGAAGTACAGAGGCAAGAGGAGATAGCACGTAGGCGAAAAAGGCGGGACGAAGGCAGGGAAAAAAACGACCAGAAAAACGGGAGGGGAGGGGAGGTTAGCTGTATTTGGCGATTGCAGTTTGTCGAGGAAGTCCTTGGTGTTCGATGCAGAACGGGACAGCTTGGCAGGAGGAGGCCGATCTGTTGGTGAGGGTTTGGAAACAACGCAGCCGAGTTTCCTGGGAGGGGACGGGGATGAGGCGAGGGAGTGGAGTGAGATTGGGTGAGTGCGCACAGAAGAAGGGAGGGAAGTTGGGGTTAGCTGGCGCTGAGGATGGAGCAGAAATTTGCAGTGAGCGCGAAATGCCACGGGGGAGAAGGAGAAGGGGAGGGTTGCACTTACCTGGAGCGAAGGTTGACGTGGCGCGTTGAGGCTGGGAGGGAGTCCGCCAGTGATACGTTGGGGGGGGGAGTGGCCAATTGGAGTCGAAAAATAGAAGGGGGCGGGGAGTGGGGGGCTATCCTGCTGGTGTAGAGCCGGGGTGTGGAGTAGCCACGTAAAAACGGGAGCTGTAGAAAAGAAAAAGAAAAACGATAGCATAAACTTACCTGGAAACGAAGCTGAGTCGTATAGGGGGAACCTGCCTAGGCGGCTTAGGGTTTGACTAGCTTCGTAGCCTAACAGGCGGGTAGTTTGGGCCGAGGAGGCCATCGCGCTATCGGGTGAACACCAATGTGATCCTGCTCTCGAGGTGGGGTGAATGGAAGTTTGTTCATTGGGATTACTCAACAGACCGTCCACTGGCTAGAGTACTGGTCCCCCAACCTCCAACTGCCCAAAAAGCGGGTAAACTTAGGCTTGCATAATTAAAAAAAAGTCCCCTCGCCCGTCGCGACCTGCCTGAGGTACCCCGTCCCAACCAAGCCTGATTGTGTTTTTTTTGTGGTCCTTCCCATTTTTTTTGGTTCTCTGCAGAGCATGCGGGGGAAACCGTTCGGATTATTACGCACCTTCTGGGAATTTCGCTCCGTGGTTCCACGAAGAACGGGTTTGGTTCTTGGGGTTGTTGGGCTTCCTTTTCTCCAGTCCTGGTCGTTGTCGGTTATGTACAAGACGCGTGACATCGTACACGTTTGCGTGTCCTTTTTTACAGATGTCAACGCGGTACAGTAACCCACGTTTTTTTGTTTGTATTCTGTTGAGGCTCGGGCCGAAGCTATTTTGTCGTTCAGATTAGTTGAGTTGTTGGTCAGAAGTGCTTGGAGGCCAAACTGCTGCCGAACAAGGCCTTGGTAAATATAGGCCCTGTTCGGCAGCACGAAAAAGCCATCAGAACCAACCAGATACCAACCACAAATCGAACAAACCTGGTTTGATTGATGGCTCGGCACTCTTGCTGACTCATGCTGACCTGTAAAAATTCCCTACGATTGGTCGCACTTCCGAACGTACCACGCAACAGTGCCAACCAACATGAAATGCACAGTAATTTACGCGCAAATTCATGTGCAATGCTGGTTGGGTCTCGGTCCAGTACTGATCCTGCTTTCTACGTGGGTGGGCACGGTTGTTAGTTCATTGTGAGAGTCATGCAGCGAGCCTATTGGCCAGAGCACAAAATGTGATCCTTCCTGGATTTTTTTCACCAGGTTCCTCGTAGCAAGTAACCTGTGATTGTGGTTGTTGGGTTTCGAGAATGGCTCACTAGGGTATTGTCTGTTGTGTGCATCATGTGAGAGGTACCGCCACGTGTGCATGTCTGGTTGCCCAGCTGAAAGAGTGGAACAGTACCCAACGTTGATTTTGTTTTGTAGTAAGCCTAGCTTCGGGCCGAGGCTGTTTTGTCGTTCAGGATAGTTAGATTGCTGGTGAGAAGTGCATAGCAGCAGAAGTGCTCCCGAACAGGGCCATATTATCCAAAACCGACCTTGACCGACCAACCTGCCATGGCTTGACCTGAGTAAACTGTTGGCACGCGCAAGCGTTGCACTGGTGACATTTTTCACGCTTCTGTGGATTCCAGCAAGTGTAGGCTATTTTGACAAACAACTTGTAACTAATATTTTGGAACAATCACGGACGTCAGTAGTCCAATGGTTAGGATATTTGCCTTCCAAGCAAAAGATCCGGGTTTAATTCCCGGCTGACGTACATCGCCCACTACACCTTTTCGCGCTGTACCGTTTTGTATGACGGGTTTGACTACTTTGTAGCCCTCATTGTCATACGCGTTGTTGTTGCCCGCTGTAACGCGTCTTTCTTCTCAGCGCTTCTGTTTCCATGGCCGCCATTCCATCCTCTCGTCGCCTCACCGCGCAGCACCGCTCATGACGCCTTCCGAATACCTTCGTCGAGAACGCCGTTACCCGTATCATTCCTCATGATCGCCTCACCCTAGCCACCCTCACTTCCATTCCAGTAACGTTTCCGAATCGGCTGAACAAAAAGGAGCCGTCTTACCATCCGCGCCAGCCGTAGGTTATCTGGCCAGCACCGAGGAGGTTTCGCGAGTCGTTTGCATCAGCAGCGGCTGTCTTCCGCTACGCGCGGCGCGGAATGACCCAGAAATTGCCCGCGCCAGCCGTGGAAAGAGGGGGGAGCGGGGGGAACGGAGGGGGGAGCGGGGGAAGCGGCGGGGGAAGCGCAGAGGATGTTGCAATCGTCCTTATCACAGCAGCTGAAAATGCGGCTGTCAGGATCGACGATGCTGACGTGGCAAGTCAGGCGATTCGGGAGCCTCCTACTGCCGGATCGGCATCAGCTCCAGCAGCGTCCATGTCCATCCGCGCCGTCAGTCGACGCGCGTCGCAGAGTAGTCCTCAGAACGTGACACGTGGCGGCCAAAGCAGTCAAACGGAGCAGCAAAGGAGAAAACGGAGCAGCCGAACAGAAAAATCGAAAAGAGCAGATCTCAAGGTGCAGCTGGCGAGCCAATCAGAGCGAAGAGGGCTCATGACAGGGACACTATCAACGGGGAAGCGTCCAGTGTTGCCACGTGGCGCAATGCAGTTGGTTGTGGATCCGTACAACCTGTGGGGGAGCCGAGTAGATGCGCGGAAGGTTCCTCTGAAGCCGTTTGTTGTGCGGTATGGTGACACTCTGGCCGCCCTCGCTGTGAGATTCAGGTGAGGCAGGGGAGGTGGGAGCGGTGCAAATGGATCCACATGGGTCCGCGTGGGTCCAACTGGGTGCAAGCTGTTTGTTGTGCGGTACTGGACACGCTGGCCGCTCTCGCTGTGAATTTCAGGTGAGAGAGGGAGGTGCAAGCAGTGCAAGTGGGTGCAATCGGGTGCAGTCGTGTTGGAGGGATGGAGGCGCTGTTCGTTTTCTGGTGCTTCTTGTAACCTGAATGGCATTACCATACTGATCATCGGACATGTTAATAGAAGCGTTTGTTAGAGCTTCTTGTAAGGAGAAGAGTGCTGCCTGCTTCTAACGGGGATGGATTTTATGCATTAGTAAAGGGCAATGCTTTTGTTTGTGTGCCGGACAAACAGTACCCTATCCTCTTGTCGTCCACATGCCATTCTCAGATAGAATGAACTATTCCCAGTTCGTCTGACAAACAAACTATGCTCTTTGGCCATGCGTCCATTTTCATTGAAACCTCCTCTTCTGTGACTTTGTGCAGTGTGACTATACGCGCGTTGCAGAGAATAAACGGGATGCAGTCAGATGCCTTATATGAAGGCGCGGTGCTGCTCGCACCTAAAGGTACACATCACATTATTGCATGAGCATCATCGCATGATCATCGTCGCATATTTTCATTTCCTGCCTGAAGTGCGATCAGGTCGCTGCTGCACCAACCGCCTCCTCTTCTATCTCCAATCCGCTATCCACTTCCCTTCCCCCCCGGCCTTCCCCCCTTCCGCTTCCCCCCTTCCGCTTTCCCCCGTCCCCCCTTCCGCTTTCCCCCTTTCCCCCCTTCCGCTTTCCCCCTTCCCCCTCGATTTCCCCCCTTCCTCTCCTCCAGGCGACATCACGCCCTCTCCCCCTGACGTGCTACACGGTCGCCACCACATTAGCTGCCGTCACCTCTATCACCCATTTCCCCATTGTCCCACACCCTCCCCCCACAAATCCCCGTCCCCCAACCCCTCCCCCCACACACACACCTCCCCCTTCCAGGGACCATCACCCCCCCTCCCCCTAGATGTGCGCCCGGGCCTGCGCCGCACCAACCGCCTGCTCTTCGGTCGCCCATCCCCTACCAGCCCGCTCAGTCCCTGCCGCTTGCCCTCTCCCCTGCTCCAGGCACCATCAATCAACCCCCCTGCCCCTTGACGTGCGCCCTGGCTTCCGCCGCTCGTTGGTCGCCCATCCCCTACCAGCTCGCTCATTCCCTATCCCCTTGCCCCTTATCCCCTTGTACCTTCCCTCTCCAGGCGCCATCACTCCCCCTCCCCTAGACGTGCGCCCGGGCCTGCGCCGCACCAACTGTCTGCTCTTCTCGCGGCCAACCCCAACCAACTCGCTCATTCCCCATCCACTTACCCCTTATACCCCTCCTCCCTCCTTCCCGCCCCCCCTTCTTTTCCCCATCCAGGCGCCATCACCCCCCCTCCCCCTGACGTGCGCCCTGGCCTGCGCCGCACCAACCGGCTGCTCTTCTCGCGCCCGTGGGTCCGCCCACCAGCCCTCGGCCAACCACAGCGCGACACGTGGCGATACCACCCTGGCACACGGCACCGGCTTAACCAGGCAAAAGGCATGCAGAGGGGCCATGGATGGTTGGGAACGGTTGACAGGTGGACGGATAGGATAGGAGGAAGGTGGTTAGGAGCAGTCTTAGGCATGCAGTGATGGCGGGGTATGCACATGGTAGGACTTGGGTAAAATCCTATCCTGTACATGGATGGCCCATGGGGGATGGGGCATCTCGTGGCCTTTCAGAATATTGTTTAGGACAGGCAATGCAGGGTATACCGTATACATATTTCATTGGGTTTCTGCCTCTTATGCTCTCCATCTACTCCTGCTCCCATACGCATGCCAGCAGTCCCAAGCTCGACATTTCTCCTTTCCCCCTGCCACTTGCTCTTCTCAACCCGTGCTGCAAATGGGTGCAGCGCGGTGGGATGAGGCACGGAGGAAGGGGTTTCACCGGCTGCTGCAGGGGTGGTTGCCTCTGCGCTCGCCCATGGATGGCTGCTCTGCCTGGTGAGGCTCACATGGGTGAAAGCGTGCTCTGCGTGGTGAGGGAGCAAGGGTAGGATTGTACCGTAATGGAGGGATGCAGTTTGGGAGGCAGTGTGTGGAAAGGGGAGGGTGAGTTTCATCAAGGGGTCCCTTTCGCCGGCTGCTGCAGGGGTGGATGCCTCTGCGCTCGCCCATGCATGGCTGCTCTGCCTGGTGAGGCTCGGATAGGAGGGCGAAAAGGTGCTGTGGCAGGTGGGGTTGGGACGGGAGGGCGCAGGGCAGGGGTTGTGCTGTTGAGTGCTCATGGAAGGCCGAGGGTTCTCTGTGCATGGGAAGCGGTGCAGTGCAATGCTGTGCGGTGTGGTGTGGTGTGTTGTGGCTCATTGAATCCACCCTCTATGTCCCTCCCCCCACCCCACCATTGTCTGCCCCACTCGCAGCTTTGTGAGCAGTCCCTTTGGGCCCAGATGGGGGTCCTTTCACCGGGTGAGTGCGGCGCCTCATTCCCTCAAGATAATGGCGGCTAGATAGCTGCAAGCTCTGGTCTGTGCCTCATTCCCTGCCACTCTTCGTTTTCTCACCTCTTTTCCAGTTCCCGCCTCTTGCTCCGTCGCCTAACCTTCACTGAATCGACTCAACACCAGCCATTGAGGCACTCTAAATGCACCTTGAAGCTCACTCAGTAACGCGAAAGCAGGCATGCACCCTTGCTTTCGACACCTGGCAGCAATGCCTTTTTCCCAGCAATGTTTTCTTCCCAGCAATGTCTTCTTGCCATATACTGGCAGGGGTGTGCCACAACACGACCCATCCCTTCTCCCTCCGCTCTCTCCCCTCTCCCTCCGCTCTCTCCCCTTCTCCCTCCGCTCTCTCCTCTTCTCCCAATCCTCACAGCAAAGGAGGGCGAGCCACTTCTTACTCCTTCCTCTCTCTCTCTACCCCTCCGCTCGCCGCTTCTCCCCCCTCCCACCCCTCACTCCTCCGTTCTTACAGGGCGTTGACGTGGCAGCAGAAGAGGGCGAGCCAATCAGAGCGGCTCGGAGTGGTGTGGTGACTCACGTGGGGGAGATGGACGTGTGAGTGTAATGAGGTGACTTTTGAGTCGACTCAAAAGTCACGTGTGAGTGTGATGAGAGCTGTGCTGCCCAGTGCCAGTGCCAGAGCCAGCCGCATTTATGAGGCGCCTCAAAAGTGGTGTGGTCACTCACGTGGGGAAGATGGACGTGTGAGTGTAATGAGAGCTGTGCTGCCCAGCAGCAATGGCAGTGGCAGTGGCAGCGGCAGTGGCAGTGGCAGCAGCAGCGTCACTGCCACTGTACCAGTGCCAGTAGACACATGTATGCTTTGCTTAGACCTCCTCTCTCCTCCCTCCTCCTTCCCTCCCTTCCCATCCTTTCCACATCAATCTGCCTCGCTCATCCTCTGCTCGTGTCTTTCCCTTCTTGAACTGTTTTCAGTCACTCACCCCAAACTCTCCTCTCGCATGCGCCGCCCACCCGCTGTCCCCAAATGCAGTTCCACTCCCCACCCACCCGTATTAGATCCAGCAATCTGCTCAAAATCCACCCACCCACCCACCCAATATTGTGACGCTGAAGCATGGTGGGAGCATCACCAAATAACACGCTGCAACAAAAGCATGCCTGTCACCTTTTGAGTCGACTCAGAAGCAAGCTTCACCGCCCACTCCGCACACTGCTCCATCATGCTCATGCAAGGCTTTTCGTCTCAAATATTATCTCAAACGCCTTCAACCCCCTTACCCTCCGACCTCACATCAGGTATGGCAATCCGGTCACACTGGCGCTCGGACGAGGCTTCACCACCCCCCAGTGGTGCTTTCACCACCAGGGCGCGGATGCTTTGACTGTTTGAACAACCTCCCACCTGCCTTTCACTCCCCCCCCCCTCCACTCCCTCTCCCCCCTACTTCCCCCCACCCCCTTTCAGGTACGGCAATCTGGTCACACTGGCGCATGAGGCAGGATTCACCACCCACTATGCGCACTGCTCCAAGATGCTCGTGCAAGCTGGCCAGGTGGGTTGGTGCGTAGGGGAGCTTGGGTGCGTTCCTGGGTGGGTTCCTGGGTGGAGCGGTGGCGCCACACAAGGCCTGCTTGTAAAGTGGCTCCTCTGGTGGGCAACACTGGTCACACCGGCGCACGAGGCGGGCTTCACCACGCTCTACGCGCACTGCTCCAAGATGCTCGTGCAAGCCAGCCAGGTGGGCTGATGTGGTGTGTTGCCATGGTCGACTAGGTCGCTACAATTGAAGCCATCCCCAACGTGTTTCACAAGGGGTGCTCGTCAGTTTCCTTCCTATCTTATGCCCGTCCATTCAAATGCTTTCCTGGCCTGCCCTGCTTTCAGTCCACTCCACGCGCTCCCCTCTCCTCACCTCGCGCTTCACCTCCCTTGGCTCCTTCAGAGCATGCATGCAGGGCAGGTGATGGAGCTGGTGTGCGCACACCAGAATGCAGGGCAGGTGATGGAGCTGGTGTGCGCACACCAGAATGCAGGGCAGGTGATGGAGCTGGTGTGCGCACACCAGAATTCAGGGCAGGTGATGGAGCTGGTGTGCGCTACACCCGTCGGACCACCCTTAACTTCTTCTCTCCCTCCTTGTGCTCCCCCTGCTCTGACTTCACAGCACGCTTCACCTCCCTTGGCTCCTCCAGAGCATGCATGCAGGACAGGTAATGGAGCTGGTGCGAGGCCCTTAGGAACTCCCATGCACCCCTCTCCACCTTCCTGCACTCCTCATTTGACCTGATTCCTGCCTCCCCACCTGCGTCATGCACCACTCTACCTCTCCTGGCGCGCGTCACAGCTGCAGCCTTCACTCTCAACACCCCTTTCCCTGCGCTCTTCAATCACTCTCCTCCCTTCACCCCAGCACAGGGTGCGAGCAGGGCAGCTGGTGTTGTCGGTGGTGCTGGTGGGCAGCACTGGATGCCGGTCCATGGGGCCGCATCTGCACACGCTTTCTCCCTCCCCACCCACCCGTCCATCGTCCCCCTGCACTCTCCATTTCCACTCGTCTCTTCACCCCAGCAGAGGGTGCGAACAGGCCAGGTGGTGGCGCTGGTGGGCAACACTGGTCGGTCCAGCACCTCTCACCACACCCATTCCCCTCCCCCCCCTTCCCCGCTTCCACCCACCACTCTCACTCTTCATTTTTAATCGCCGCTTGACTCTCCCAGAGGGTGCGAGCAGGGCAGGTGGTGGCGCTGGTGGGCAACACTGGTCGGTCCATGGGCCCGCATCTGCACTTTGAAGGTGAGCATTCAGGGTTCCCATTTCATGGCTGGTTGGTACAATGCTTTTTGTGCATGCAAGACACTGCCCCTCCCCGTAGTCGCAGTGCGCATGGATCTTGTTTTAAGAGGAATATATATATTTATAAAAAAGGTAGACGTGGATGTTGTGTGTGTGTGTTTTTTTTTTGTGCATGCACCTTGTCTCCTTGTGCTTGCAGTGCGAAGGCATGGAGAGCCCTTTGATCCGTTCGATTGGTGCAATATATGAGCGGCTCACATTTCACACTCGATAAAACCTTGGGCCTTTTGACGAGTTGAATGGGCGTACCAATTATGCTGCACTGGAAATTCCGTGGGCATTCCAGGATTGGACCCGCAATGGACCCTTGAAAGCATGAGCGAGATTACTGAGTTTCAGAAGCGTGATCAGGATCTGATGATACAAGCGAAAGCAGTTTTATAAAAATCAAAGCACAGATAGGTGAGAGCTGCCTTGGAGTGTTAGGGTGTAAGTGATGTATATCATGCATTGGTCCACTTCTGTATAAATTCTGAATTACTCTTCCGCAATCCCAGAATTCTTGCTCTATTGGCATCTGACTGTACACATGAAAAAACGATTCACGAATCAGCAAGCGAGTTGCGAACAATTCCAAGCGCGGCACACTCGAGAATTCCCATCGTCATTGGGTTTGTCTTGCCCGTCCCTTGGGTTTCGCTGATGTGTTTGTTGGTTTCCCTTGCTTGGCAGCGCGTTAGAGGCACAGCCTCACCAGCACTAGCGCGACACTAGCAGCGCATTGAACTTCTGACTGAACATGCCACACGAGCATGTCTTCCACCTCTGACCCGCACGACTGAGCAGGAACCTCTACGACCTGCGTGCAAGAACCAGCAACGCCAGAGAGCAGAGAATGATAAGCAAACCGAGAATGATTAGCTTCTTCGTCCATGCCGCATCTTCTTGATTTCACGAGGTATCGCATCTTCTTGATTTCACGAGATATCGCATCTTCTTGGTTTCACGAGGTATCACCCTCTTGTGCTCTCGAAGAGGATAGCGCGTCCCCGATTTTCTCGTGCCTATTTTCGTCTTCAAATCTACTGTCGTTCTACATCCTCCTATCGCTGTCATGGCTTTTAAGAAACAAAACTCGTTGCTTCCCAAGCATTCCGCGAAACAACACGCGTTGCGTTTCAAAAAACAACATTTTCGACTATGGGCTCTCCTTCTCCTACTTCTATTGCTCCTACTCACTCTACCCGTAGCGCTCTCCCGCCCGTCCCGCCCCACCAACGCCGGTGAGCAAGCATCCTATTTTTGACGCGCCTCGGAAATAGTAGGCTCTTACATCTCCGTGTAACACATCCTCTATCAACCTCCTATGCTCTTTCGCTCAGCCCCACCTCGTCCTGTTCCCCCTTTGCCCCCCATGCCTCCCATGCGGCAGCTTCCCCCTCCCATGCCTCCGCGATCTACATCGTACGCCTTCGCTCCGCGCCGCCTGTCGCCTCTTACCGCGGCGGATTTGCCGGCTACCCTGCAACGGCCGCTTGGGGCAGCGACCCTAACGGCGAGACGCCAGGCGCCGCATCAGACGACGGCGCCAGCGATGGCGTTGGCGCTGCATCTGCCACTCCTACTGCTGCTGCCTCCAGCGGTTCAGGGGGCACAAACCGTCCGCTGCGGCGGCCGCGGATGAACGTGAGGGCGCCGGGCGTGAGGGCGTTCAAGCAGCTGCTGCAGCGCATGCAGCAGGCCGTGCTGAGAGACAGCGGGGTGGACGCGGGGAAGATGGTGTACAGGTGAGGGGAAAGATGGTCTACAGGTGAGGGGCAGATGGTGTACAGGTGTGCATGAGAAGAATTTTGGGAACTTGATTGCTGTGACTAGTAGTGACTAGTAGTAGTCACTACTTCTGGGAGCGTGCTGCTGCAGCAGTACATGCAAAAAGCGGTGATACAGGATAGTCAGGCCGACGCTCTAGATAACGTCCAACAGGTGAGCAGACATCTATGTTACATCTGGTGTTATGGCTGTTGCACGCATCCAACCGCTTCTCAGCGACTTCACGCCCTCCCTTGCCCGCCCTCTCTCAACTACCCCTGCACGCCTGCCCGCCTTCCTTCCCTCGCCTCCCCCTGTACGCTTCCTCCCCCCCCCCCCCCCCCCTGTACGCTTCCCCCCCCCCCCCTCCTCTGTACGCTTCCCCATCAGCTACGTGCACACAGACAACAGCTTCTCGGCGACCCTCACGGCAGCGCAGGCGCAGCGCATGAGGCGGCACCCCTCTGTGGCGTCTGTCACACTCTCTCGCACCATCACACGCCGCCACGCCGTCACTGCCGCCGCCGACGGGCACAAGTCTCTCAAGCTGCTCCATGAACGCACTACTGATGCTGCCACTACCGCTGCTGCTGCCGCCACTCCGGCTGGAGCGTCGAGCGATGGCGAAGGCACGGTGATTGGGATCCTGGACAGCGGCGTGTGGCCGGAGCACCCCTCCTTTGACGACACCGTACGTTCACAGCCGCGCATTGCTGGGGGGCTCACCGTATGGGTTGCTGCTGCTGCTGCTGCTTCTGCTGCTTCTCTCTCTCCATCTGCACCCGCTCTTTGACTTCCTCATCCGTACTTTTCTCTGCCTCCCGGTCCCACTACAGCAGACCACTATCATGCGCGCTTAGCTACCCCCGTGCACCCCACATCCTCCCCCCCGCCAGGGCTACAGCAGCACGCTCCCTGCCGGGTGGGCGGGCACGTGTCCCACTACAAGCGACTTCGCTTGTAACAACAAGATCATCGGCGGGGGCATGTTCCACGAGGGATATGGGCAGTCCCACAGCACAGACAAGTGGTTCTCCCCTCGGGATTGTGATGGCCATGGCACGTGGTGTGCCGGGTGAGTCCAGGAAAATAGGATTGTGTGGTGAACGCCATGCCACACCATGGCATGGCGTGGCATGGCGTGGCATGGCTTGTGATGGGATGGGATGGGATGGGATGGGATGGGATGGGATGGGATGGGATGGGATGGGATGGGATGGGATGGGATGGGATGGGATGGGATGGGATGGGATGGGATGTGATGGCATGGCATGGCATGGCATGGCATGGCATGGCATGGGATGGCATGGCATGGGATGGTATGGCATGGCTTGGCATGGGATGGTATGGCATGGCTTGGCATGGGTTGGTATGGGATGGCTTGGCATGGGATGGTATGGCATGGCTTGGCATGGGATGGTATGGCATGGCTTGGCATTGCATGTGTTCAAAGTGGATATGGCAGACAGGGGAAAGGAAGAAGTCCATGTGCAGGGCGTGGCAAGGACATTCCCCTCATAGCCGCTCCCTCCCGTCATATGGGTTCCCTCATAGCCGCTCCCTCGCGTCATATGGGTTCCCTCATACCCGCTCCCTCCCTGCCCCATGCATCCCCACTTCCAGAGCAGCAGCGGGCAACAGCGGCGTGGAGGTGCCTGGAGGGGGCACAATCAGTGGCGTGGCTCCCAAGGCACGCCTGGCCATCTACAAGGTCTATTGGTATCTCGGCCCTGGCGAGTCAGTCACTACCGATGCAGATGTCTTTGCAGCCGTTGATCAGGCTGTGGCGGACGGTGTGGATGTGCTCACGCTGTCCCTGGACAACACGAACAGAAACACGGCCTGGGATCAGTTTGACAAGTGGAATTGGACCTACTTTGACGACGTGCCTTTCCTCGGCGCTCTCGCGGTGGGTGTGAGGGGCATGCGTGTAGGGAGTGGCTTTGCTGGTTGATCCGGGCTTGTTCTTCTATTACACTCATACGTATCCCTGCCAATGTGGTGGGTGCATCACTCGAGTATACACTGGTACGGAATGTGATCGAAACCCCATCCCATGTCAGCCAGTCGTCTCGTTAGGGCGCCTCAGAAGGTCTTTGTCAGCCTTCCCTCGCTTTCTTCTCTCGATTTCCTTGAGCTTCTACTCTCTCTAACCTTCCGTGCCCTTCTGCTCTCACTCCCCGTTCTCCCTCCCTCCCGCCTTTTCTCTCTCCCTCCCTCCCTCCCTCCCTCCCTCCCTCCCTCCCTCCCTCCCTCCCTCCCTCCCTCCCTCCCTCCCTCCCTCCCTCCCTCCCTCCCTCCCTCCTCCCTCCCTCCCTCCCTCCCTCCCTCCCTCCCTCCCTCCCTCCCTCCCTCCCTCCCTCCCTCCCTCCCTTCATCCACATCTGAGTTGCTATGGCTCAAACCCTTTCAACCCTTTTCAACGCCTCTAATCTCCTTGCATCGTGGCCTGCCCATCACCCTTTCGTCACCTCCTCTTGCTTTTGTTTCCCTCACACCCTCCTCCTAGCCGGAGTGACTGTAGCGAGTTTTTGGGCACCTATAATGCTGACTCTCTCCCTTCCCCGTTCCTCCCCAGGCCGGTGTGACTGTGTCTTTTGCAGTGGGCGACGAGGGGAGGTCTTTTTACCGTTACCTGTACGGTCCTTTCCCTGCCATTGACAACTTTGCACCCTACTATATCAGCGTGGGGGCCAGGTGAGAATGGGGAGCACTTGTTGGAGAGTGGCGGGGGTTGTTTGTTTCCGAAGCTGCAGTTTTGCTTACTAGGTTAATTTGCATCAGTTCACATTGGTTCGCATTGGTTTGCTTTGGTTAGCATTGGTTCGCAATGGTTCTTTTTGGTTTGCATCAGTTTGTGTTGGTTCCCATTGGTTCGCATTGGTTTTTGCCCTTTTCCACGCTCCCCTCCCTCCTCTCGCATCTCCCTCGTCTTCCCCCTCCTCCTCCCCATCTCTTGCCCATCTCATGCACACCAATACCCCCCCTGCCCCACCATGCATGCAGTACCGTGCCCCAGGACTCCCTCACTTCATCATCTACTATAACAACAGCAGCAGCAGCAGCGCTAGAATCTCCTGCAAACACCACAGGCCCAGCAGCATCGACACTGCTAGAAACCCAGCTTCCCATCAACATCTCCTCTGCGGCCACCATCTCCCCTGCAGCAGCCACTGCCCTCCCAATGGTTCCCAAATGGTCTTCCACCGGCCCTCTGGCCGCGCGCGGCTGTACCGTCTGCCGCCCGAAGAAGGCCCGCCCCTCCAACACCATTCTCAAGCCTGACATCATAGCCCCGGGAGCCGACATCATTGCTGCTGCTCCCGGGACAACTGTTGGTGAAACGGGGTCGTTTTCGGCTTACAACAACGAGACTGCCGTGTCGGCGGCGCTTGTTGCTGGTGTTGCTGCTCTGATCATCCAGCAGCATCCTGATTGGACGCCCGCGCAGGTCATGTCTGCCATGATGACGACAGCTGGCAGCACTGACAACAGCAACAGGTTGATTCGGAATGTGAACGGCAAGCCGGCGAGTCCGTGGGAGATGGGAGCGGGGCATGTGTTTCCCGCTAGGGCGCTTGACCCCGGGTTGACCTACGATGCCAGGGAGCAAGATTTCCGCAACTTTCTTGCTGGGATGAATTTCACGATGGCCCGAGAGGCATTCGGGCAGGTGCCACTGAAACCCGTTGCAGCGAGGCACCTAAACCGGCCGTCAATCTCGCTGGTCAACATACCGCTGGTAGTGAATAAACTCACTGCTAGGCGGACTGTGACGAGCGTCTCAGACACCACATCGACCTACCGGGTGACGATTAATGTCCCTGAGGCTGTGAGAGTGAGGGTGGTGCCATCGCAGTTTACCATAGCGCCAGGGCAACGGGTAAGTTTCAAGGTGAAGGCTGTGGTGAGGAGGAGGTTCAAGAACTTTAAGTTCGGCAGCCTCACGTGGAAGGATGACAACGGGCATTCGGTGCGCTCGGTCCTCGTTCTCCATTGCAAACCAGCTTGTGTGTACTTTTGCTAGATTTGCTGATTAACGAGTCATGTAATGTGTAGCTTGACTGTTTTCTGGTACTTCTGTTAGGTTAGGTATACACATACTTTTTCTGTACAGATTAGTCACGCCTGTAAATGAACCATGCAATGTACCGTATTCTTTCGGATAAAACACCCGCCGAAATTAAATACCCCCCGGGTAGCTTGTGCGGGGTGGGTGTTGTAAGCGACCTCGTTACTAATATACCCCCCCTTTTGGGGTGATAGATTATATCACACCCCCTTTCTTACAGATTTCTTTCATAGTTGTTATCGAGTCCGATTCCGTACAGGAGGATATCGCGAGAATTGCTCCCTAGATTGGTAAATCTCGTGTGTACTTTCACTGAATCTGCCGAGATTCCTCCCCTCCCACAATCTCGCTGTCGCCACGCTGGCGAATCTTCTGCTGCAAGTGGCCCGAGTGTTGAGATTAGAGGCAAAGAATGTGTGGATTAGGTCAAGGAGGGGTACAAGAACAAAGTCGATAGAAGTTATGTACCCTCTACTGCTAACCTCCATACAGCCTAGTTAAACATGTTTTGACACACCCCCATAGGCGAAATGGGGGATAGCCAAAGCAAGTAATGGTCACAAGACCAGTCAAGAGAAGAAACAAAACACAGCTCAGGGTGGATCACAAAGTCACCACACACACTGAGCACAAGCAAGAGGCCACAAGGCCAGTTCACATGCAGAGTTATAAAAGCACAAGCAATACAGTGATCACAACCTAGCAAGTGTAAGCATGCAGGTATATATATATATACACATCATAGTCAAGAAGTAAGCAAGTGAGGAAACGTAGGCACTAGGCCTAGAGCAGTACAGAAGCGCTGATCGTCACCAGGCGGAAGAGCCTTAGTGAACACATCAGCAGTGTTGGCCCGGGTGGCCACGTAAGCAAGACGAAGTTGACCACGCTGCTGCAACTCTCGAGCAAGGAAGTAACGCAGAGCAATGTGCTTCGTTCTGTGCTCCAGTCTGTGCTCCTAACACAAGGTAATAGCAGCCTTGTTGTCGACGTACAGAACTGGAGGAGAACGAGGCCTCTCTCCCAAGTCGGTCAGCAGGTAGGTGAGCCAGCGTAATTCCTGTGCAGCCATGGCTGTGGCGTAGATCTCAGCCTCACAACTGGAGCTGAGAACAGAAGACGAGCGTGTAGACTGCCAAGAAACAGAGCCAGAGCCAACGCTTAACGTGTAACCCTGTGACGACCGCTGCGTAGCCAGGTCGTCAACCCAAGACACGTCTCACCCCGTCCTCCAAGCACAAGCCCCATGCCCGATGTACTGCACAAGTAGCGTAACACCCTCTTAGCAGCCTCCTTGATCTCTCGCCGGTGTCTCCCGGGCGCAACGTAGCGAGCTAGGATGCTAAGAGGGTACACAAGGTCAGGTCGAGTGCAGGTCATCAGGTACATGAGGCAGCCCACAAGCTCTGGATACGGGCCACTCGGCTCTACGGACTCATCCGTAGGCAGAGCTAAGAGCGAGAGACTCGTAACCATAGGAGTGGACTGCGGCGAGGACCAAGTGAAGCCGAAGCGCTGAAGGACCTACTGCACCATGTGTGACTGAGTCAGGGTGATGGTGCGACGTGCTCTGTCCCGGGTGATTTGCAAGCCAAGGTAGCTGCGCAGCTCACCCAGGTCTGTGCACGTGTGTCTCTCTTCTGCAGCTCCGACTTCACAAGGGCGAGTGCCTCAGTGTCAGCAGTGGCAAAGACCAAGTCGACGTACACGAGGATGTAGAACGGTGGCAGCGAAGTGTCGGTGCGCAGAAACAGCGATGGGTCAGCAGTGGAAGGAGCAAACCCAAGAGCCGCAAGTGTCGTCCTCAGTGTGTCGTACCACTCACGAGGTGCCTGACGGAGACCGTAGACTGGTCGGCGGAGGCTCCACTGGGTACCAGGAGGGAACGACCCAGTGAAGCCAGGTGGGCGGCGCAGCCAGATCTCCTAGTGCAAACTGCCCTGCAAGAAGGCTGTGCTGAAGTCAAGAGAGTAAAGCTCGTAGTCACGCTGAGCGACAACGTGCAGCACCAACTGAAGAGTGGTCATCTTTGGGTAGAAGAGAAGGTCTGGAAGAAGTCAACTCCCTGTCGCTGACTGATGCCCCGTGCGACGTAACGAGCCTTGAAGACAGGCGGAGAACCCGGCGGACGCTTCACCCTGAAAATCCACATGCCATCGACAATGTTCGCCCCAGGAGGGGGAACCTCATCGACGTAAGTGCCTGTGGACTTCCAGGATGCCATCTCTGCGTCCATGGCTGTCTGCCACTGAGAGGAGTACTCACCCGCGATCGCCTCTGCGTAAGAGCGCGGGGTCGGGATGTCCAGTGCATCCAGGTCTCCCTCAGGGGCAAGCAGCATGGCCACGAGATGAGGCGCAGCGGCCGCAAGACACTCAAGGTCCTCCTGCCTGTCCTCAAGGACGTCCGTGCCAAGAGCACACTCACCCCCGACGGACGGAGGATAGACAGACTCAGACTCAGCAAGAAGAGCAGCGGCGTAGTCTAGACGACACGAACCAGCGAAGTCAACAAGCTCAGCAACTAAGGCAGACGCAGCAGCGGACTCAAACGAAGGGTCAGTGACAACAGTGGCTAACAAACGCGTGACAGTAGGGTGAGCAGCACGAACCAGGTCAGACTCGGGGTCCGAAACGTCCGGAAGAGAAGACGCAGGCGGAGACGGCAGAGGGACGCGCAGAGGAACAGAGGAAGGACGAAGTGCCATAGTATGAGTACCTGGCACAGGGGGTGGACGCGGATGCGGGACATGACGGCCAGTGCGGAGAGTGCGAACAGGAGAGGCAGGACGAGACGCAGGCTCACGACGCTGTGCAGGCGACTTAGACTACGCAGGGTAAGGAGAAGGCGCAGGCAATAGGGAGCTAGGCTGTAACGGGAGGCCAGTAGAAGACGGGAGGGTAAGAACTTGGCGAAGCACAGAGTCAGGTGGTGGCAGGGACGTAGGGGACGGTGGAGCAAAGAACGGGCGCGGCTGGTCAGAAACACCAGCTCCAGGGTCCGCGGCACGACCAGCGCCGGCAGCTCCAGCACCCGAAGTGCGAGCACCTCCGGGACCAGCAGTGCTCGAACGCGCAGCACCACGAGCTCCAGCAGCGGCAAAACCTCCAGCACCAACAGCACCTCTAACTCCAGCACCTCCAGCGGTAGCGTCTCCAGCTCCAAAACCCCTAGCTCCAGAACCTCCAGCTCCAGCACCTCCAACGGTAGCGTCTCCAGCTTCAGAACCTCCAGCTCCAGCGCCCCCAGCGGCAGCGTCTCTAGATCCAAAACCCCCAGCTCCAGAACCTCCAGCGTCTCCAGCTCCAGAACCTTCAGCTCTAGAACGACCAGCCCCAGCAGCGCCACGCAGGAGGCGAGTGCGCTGAGCGAGCCACTCGCGTAGCTGCTGTGGTGAGAGGGGCTCCCGCTAGGGAGACCGCTGAAGTGAGACACCAGGAAGACGACCAAGGGACCCAGCTCCACCAAGCTCAGCACCCCCAGGTCCAGCACTCTCAGAGGCAGTACCCCCAGGCTCAGCACCCCCAGGCTCAGCACCCTCAGGCTCAACACCCCCAGGCTCCGCACCCCCAGGCTCAGCACCCCAAGACGCAGTACCTCGAGCAGGACCACCCCCAGCAGCACCTGAGTCACCAGAAACCTCAACAGGCTCAGCTAAGGGAGGAGGGTCTACCTGAGACACACTTGAAGGAGCAGGACCCTGAGGGGGGAGGGGGTCTACCGGAGGGGGACCTGGAGCGAGGAAGAGTGGCGGGGGGGGGAGAGAGGTAGTGCGGTAGGGGAAGAGACGGTAGAAGGGAACCGACTCGTCAAAGGTGACGTCCTGGGACGCGAAGACACGGCGCGAGGTGGGGTGGTAAAACTGCGAACTAGGTGCGTCAGTGGGAAAACCAAGGAAAACGCAAGGAATGGCGCGAGAGGAGAGCTTGCCCGCGGTGGAATCGCGGACAAAGGCACAGGAACCCCAGACCCGGAAACGCGACGCATTGCCAACCTCCCCCGTCCAACGCAGTGTGGGCGAGGTCTCCAGCAAGGAGACACGGGGCCAGAGGTTGAGCTGATGTACAGCGTATCGGACCACGAACGGCCACAGAAAATGGGGAGCAGCTGCATGGATCATGGAGGTACGAGCGACCTCCATGACTAAGCCAATGCGACGCTCAGCAATCCCATTTTGCTGTGGGGAGGCCGGAAGCGTGAACGACTGGTGAATGCCCTCCGTGTCACAAAAGGACCCCAAGAGGCCAGAGGAGAACTCACCACCCCTGTCAGAGTGCAAACGCAGGACAGGAAGGTCCGTGCGGAACCGCTCGCGCAGCTGGAGACGGACAGCTCGGATCCAACGGATCAAGACAACAGGGACCTCACCCTTGCGGCGCAAGGGGAAGACCGTGGTGTAACGCGAATAGTCGTCGACAACCAGCAAAAAGTATCGCTCACGGCTCACTCCCTGGACGCGGGCTGGGCCCCACACGTCCATGTGGAGAGTCTGCAGGGGAGCAGACGTCGCGGGAAACGAGGAGGAGTGAGGAGCGGCGCGCTGCCGCCCCTCGACGCAAGGAATGCAGGGCGGGGCAGGCGAGGGTGGGAGGGAAGGCAGAGACCTGGGAAGACCAGAGACCAGAAGACGCGACTGCATGCCACGAAGGCGTGGCAGAGAGGGGTGACCAAGCCTATGGTACCAGAGGAGAGTCTGGTGCGACAGGCGGCGACACTCACAAGGGGTAGCGACCTGAGCTGACGCAGACAGCTGAGGGGACCTAGGAGCGTAGCGCGACACAGTGGTGAGGGTGTACAGACTGGACCCAGGCTCACGTGTGAACGTGGCAACGTGACGGCCCGTCCTGGAGCAGGTACAGATCGCCACACGCTCGCCTCCAGGGGTGAAGGTGTCAACCCACTGATCCTGGAGGACAGCGTTGCTCACCAAGTTCTTAGAGAACGAGGGGAGGTGG